GTAGCTTAGAAGTAAATCATCTGACATTCATTTAATCTTGTGCTTCCTTCTAAAGATCTTTGATTTTTTTAAATAGCATAAAATGAGAATTGGAGTTAGGTGGAAGTGTCTCACCTCTTTGACAGATTTCTTTCCACTTTTTGAAACATTCACACCACGTTAAGGCTTAAAGGTGCAGTCTGATTCTAATCTAGTACACCTTTTGTCAATTTCAGCAAATATCTTCTTGCGGCTCACTAGCTGTCTGTTCTGTGTCCATTAAAAAAAAAAAAATCTGGTGTTCATACACAGCCCTGGCTCTGTAAATTGGAAACAAAAAAAGAATGGTCACAACCGAGCCAATGCTAACTACAAGCTAGCTTATTAGCTTAGCTCACAGACAGAAAGCCAGCTGGCTGCGTCAACATATTGTGCCCACTGTCCAGTCTTCACTCGTTTGCTGACGCGAGCCTTGGACACTGCACTGCGCATCAGCTAGGTTAGGCGGGAGCTAGTCTCTATATACAGACTCTACATTCAGTGAATGTAGAGTCTGTAGGCAAACCCCGGAGATCTTGCCTCCGGAAGAAGAGCGAAAGAGACATGGTTTCCAGTTGTAGGCTGTTTGTAGTCCGCATGATATTGACCAATCACGTTTGAGCCGGCTGCAGTTGTTGCCAGGTTAAGCGCTCCATGCGGTGAACTAACGAGGAGGAACATAACCTGCGTCACTGCCAACTCTGAATCCATCGCAATGGTTCAGCATATTTACTTATATATAAACAGAAGTCGGAAACGGAAATGTGCCTCCTCCGCCCAAATCAAACTGGAATGCCAAAAAATCGGGGGTCTGCCCCCAGAGGCTGTATCGCCGTCTGCCCGAAGTCAGACGCCGAATACAGCCGATGGGTTCTGAGAATGGGTGGGAGCTAGTGGGCGCCGTTCCTTCGGCAATTACAGCTGCGGAGACATGACCTGTGTTCGAAATCGCTCCCTATCACGGATATAGTGCACTGTATAGTGTGTTCGCCATTTTGTAGTGTTGTTCGAATTCTCCGTGGTTAATTTCATTCACTGTATAGTGGACTATAAAATACCCACAATGCACAGCAAATGTGAGTGAACAAACGATGTACCCTACATTTTACTCCCATATACCACAATGCAATGCGGTCGTCTTTTGCCAGAGGAGAAGAAGAAAAACAACCGCAAAGATGGCACAAAAAGAAAAGAAACGAATAGGATGTTAGCCGGTAACGTTAGCTCACGAGCTAACAATAGCCACTTAGCTCGCACGAGCCAGGGAGCTTGTAGCTCGTGCACTATCGTGAGCTATTACAGCTCACAATGCAGACACACAACCGTAGCTGACAAAACCAAACATCCACACCATTGACATTTCAACAATTTATTGACAAAAAGTACAACCGCCATACAGTTTGATCATCCTCAAAGCGCCCGGTTTGTTTACATGATGCTTGGCGCGTCCACTTGCGTCACAGGAGTATACGGCACAGCTACTGACGCAACGACGTTCAGAAAATTTCAGTTAGTGTCCGAAATCTCGTTCAGTCGTTCCCCATGTAGTGCACTATATAGTAAACATGGAATAGGGAAGGGTGAGTGAGTGAGTGAGTGAGTGAGTGGACGGTTTCGAACACAGCTATGGTGGCCATCCTCTGAGCAAGCAGCTTCATTTTGAGCCACACAACTTCCTTATCACTGTTAATAATGCTGACATCACTAGCTGCATTGACACTGCACTAACGGTGATTTTGTAGTTACCACTGCTAAAGGGGGTTTGCAGCTCAAAACTGGGCTGTTTACGTACCCTGCCGACCTGGAGGGGAGACTGGACGGTGGGCAATAAAGATGGGTGATATGGCCATGAAATACTATCATGAAATTTCAGGGTATTTTTGTGGTAACAGTATTCTTGACAATATGACAGATTGTTAAAAAAAAAAAATCATAATATTTAAGTTAAGAAAATAGATTTGCAACAAAATCAGTGATATAGTTTTACAGTTTGCCTTCAAATATTCAGTAAAAACAAAAATGATCTCTCATTTCTTTAGTTTGTAAACAACAACAGTAACTCAGAGCGAGATTCAGATTCTGTATACGATATTAATAGTTCAACGAAATAAAATCCACCACATATTACACATTTAAACAGCTCACAAATACAAAAAATGTCCCCTGGGATCTATTTATATAAATCAACAGGTGATTTCCTTCTTTTAGTAAAATCCTAAATGATTGAGTTGTTTTTTTTTTCCCACCTCTAATCATCACGCTGTAACCTGTGACAGGCTGTTATGATACCACAACTATCACACATTCATATATGGAGTTTTTGTGGAGCCACAAACGGCAAGTGGGTTTACATTACCAAAGGCTTGACGCAGTGCTGCTGCCAGAGGAGCCGCTGAATGAGTTCCCTCTGAGCAATAAGTCACTAAAAGAGTCTGAGAAGTCCGGGGCTGTTCATAAAACATTCAGGACGCCACAGTTTATTCCACACTACTGAAGCTGCTCCTCTTTTGGAACCACCGCAGAGTCTGTAATAATTTCACTTTCAGCCATGCTAGTTGTTGCCGTGGGTAACAGTATGACATCAATATGTCAACAAGTCAAAATATTGCGTGTATCAGGTTGCGAATTCTTTAGGGATGTACCCAAATATTCGGATATTCGAATATTTGTTTCTATGGGTAGGTAGTCGATATTCATTTTTTTATTTTATTTTATTATTATTTTTTACATTGTTAAAAATGTGAAAATACAGTATAGCCTACCAACTGAGCTTGTGCGCACGGGACGCTTGAGCGCATCCGTCTGAGGCTGTGGATCAATGCCAAGTTTTACCACTTTATCACTATTCCCTCTAACTTGTAGCTGTTTTTTTGTTATCTTTTGAATTTAATATGAATTATGGAACCGTTTTTGTCAACGTTTGTTTCCCCCGTTTTGTACAGTAAATTATTGTTTAAAGTTTCAACAAGTTTCTTTTGGAGTGCGTGACACAAGTGTGTTTTGAAAACGACCGCGGACTGTCACCTGCTCAACGCATCAGTACCTTCGGATGCCATGACAGTAATAGCCAATAATGTAAAAATATCATTTACAGACCGATTTAACAGACGATCACTGCTGCCCGACCCACAGGTCCATTTGAGGGTCCCGCGGGTTACGGGTCGACCCGCGCATCACTACTCAGCTCAGTCTATAAAGGCTGTACACACAACAGTAAGGCTATAGACATTATATTCTATTCAGGCCGGCAGAACCAGCAGCGCATCGGCTCTACAGTGCACGGCACTGCTGATTAACCATTTTATTGCAGCACAGAGTGTCTGCCAGCAACCAATTACTTGCAGAGGCTTCCTACAATGTGTTTCAACGGTTCCGATTTAATCAGAAGACAAATTAAACAGAATGACTAGCCAGTGTGAAAATCAAAAGAAAGCATAGAATAATGTACAGAAGGAGACTGTTGTGCCATCACATTTTTTTGTGGTTTGAGAGCAAAGATCCGGTCGCCACTGTGCAAAACTCCGCAATACAATTAGGTCCCAAAAAAAACCCCGGAGTCCGCCTCCACCATATTCAAATATTCGTTTTAAATTCTGCCGAAGGTCCGAATGTTAAAAAATGGTATTCGGGACAGCCCTAGAATTCTTCATATATTAAAAATGATACCGGTATTATCATGGACGAGATGATATGACACACCTCTAGTGGACAGAATGGTGGCGTTACAAGCGGTCACCAATGGCTGAGCAACACCACTAGGTAACCTTAGCTGCCATTAGGCCTGGGTGGTGCGCAGTGCAGTAAACAGAAGAAGAGCAAGATTAATCTATGTCCGACATGTGTAACCGGTCAATGATTAATGGCTAACTGGTAACATCTCCAGTTCAAGTATCAACAATCTTTCTAAAGAATCTCTGACTCCACCTTCAATAGGACATTAAGTAACCCATGACCTCTCGTGACCTCTATCACTGAGTAGGAGGGATTGCTTAGATGTGATAGTGTTACATGATGAAGATTTATGTAAGGCTAGCTGACTTCTTAGACTGAGTCACTTTGGTGAGTCACTTCCACACCCAGCTCTCAGCCCCATTTAGCAACTTCAAGTTGATATATTTTCCAGACAAGGTTACAAATAATTGAATGCAGATTTAATGCAAATATCATTATGATCGAACTAAGCTATAAAGGACCTGCTGCTCTTTGATGTGTGGCCTTCAAAGGAGCATTTAATCAAGGTTCATGAAGGTGATTCATTGCTCATAAAGGTGATTCATTCTGGCCAGAGTGAATCACCTTTATGAGCATTTAATCAAGGCTCATAAAGGTGATTCATTCTGGCCAAATGGCACCGCTGAATCGATGCAATGTGAAATGGTAAGCAGCGGAAGTCACCAGTGACGCCATCGTGATGTCACCGATGTCACCCGCCCCCTCATGCCACCTCTCAGAATTACAGATTAGTGTTTTGAATCACAGCTGCTGCTGCTGCTGCTGCTGCCTGCCATCTACTGGACTCCACACTGAGACATTCACATATCTCTGTCTTACTATGATTGTGGTTCAGTAAAGGGTCGCCTCACCTAAAGTGGTATCTCCTCCTTGTTTTGGTGCAGTAATTTAGTGTACCTGAACAGTCATTAAAAGGCATGATAGTTTCTTTTAATGTAGTTTTTAGGACTTTAAGCAGCACAAACAAAACTACACTAACCTCTACTACATTTGGGTGGCAAGAGAATTTTAATACCTAAACCTTTTCTCATATTTTGTTTGTAATTCCAACTGGAAATAAGTGAAATTTAATTAATAGTACGTCACAAAAGGTAAAACGTTGGAAGAAGTACAGAAGTGCAGGGACACAGGCTTTATTAAAAGCGCGCACACATTCACGCACAAGCACGGACACACTCTCACAAAGCCACCTCTTGCTGTTGTTAACACTCTTGTTGTGTCTCTACCCTTTCCTCTCCTTTCCTGCACAGCCCCAGACAAACAGCACCAAAAACAGCATAGTCACCAGCCCCAAAGGAAACATCCCTTCACCTGCTCTGGTATTTACCTCCT